TCCTTCGTCGCGGCGCTGTGACGTATGCGGCCGACAAATTCGACCTTCGGAGGACCCGTCCTGCCGTTTTGGACACAGCCTTTATATTCTGTTTAGATCATACTTTTCAACTTGTTCAGTTTTCTCTATTTACTCCTACATTTCCTGAACTATTAAATCAAATTATTTGTGACGGAACTTCTAAATAAGGTCTGGACCTACAAACTAAAATTTGGTCATCTTCATTCTCCTCTGGCTCTGGGTCAGACTGGCTCTAACATGCAAGGCTGGATGGACAAGTCTTATTGCTGACATCTTTTAATTAGTAAATAACCAGTGTCTGCGCCGCTAGGTAGTTGTATCCCTTCTATCAAAATAGAATGAACCGCTCTACGTGTTTAAAAAGAGCATTAAAACGAGTTGATCTGAGACACACCTTAGAAAATAAGAGAAACGGGCTTGTGGAGTTACAATAAGAAATTCTGACAAAGGCATTGCAGTTCCACTTTATATAGACCCCAACTGAAGGACTTATGTGATTTAAAAGTGTGATGTCTTAAAATAAAAAAATGTATTTGCCTTAATCTTTATCTTCCTGTTCATCATGATGGACTAACTAAAGGCAAAATCCCATAATTATTCATTAAACATGACAAGTATTAGTATCAACATCGGTATAGGCAATACTAGCTTTGCATTTACTTGGCATTGGATCGATACTAAAGTTCCTAGCATTGCTCACCCCTAAGTTGACTCTCAAACAGTTAATCATCTGTAGAGRGATAACTTCATGATTCATTTCTGAGAGTTTCGTTTAGGTTCCCCTTGCAAAAGAGATTACAAACTCAATGGAGTTTTAATCTGGTTAATTAAAGGAAATGAATAAAAATGTATTTTGCTGCAAACAGACATCGTGTGTGGCGGGGTGATTACAAACCAAAAGAGACCCGAGAGATGTTGGATCGGGGTTGGGTRTTTTCTCGCGGGGTTCAGCAACACAACAATCATTTCCCTGTCTGGGTCAAAATGTCTCGGAAACATTCACTTCCTCAAAGATAGTTCTCATTTCAAGGGTAAAGACTTTTTTTTTTATAAATCGGTTTACTAGAAGTAGTGGATTGCAACAGTTGTGCAATTAAGAGTCACATTTATGTGCCACATCAGCAAATGGGTTTCTCCTCCCTGGTAGCATCAAATTTAAACATTTAAACAGTTGTCATGGTGTCTGTTCATCTGTTTTCTAACTGAGGTTAATAAAGATGGTGACTGGCAAGTCAGTGATGAAGACCGGAGTATGTAAAGACGAGCTGTTGGTAAATGATGAAAGTAAAATGAGATTGAAAGCCTCACAAGCTGTGCAGTGAACTATGACTCATTGTCTTTTGCATTTAGTAAGCTCTGCATTTAAAAGGTCAACGAGCAGCAAACAAACCGAGAGCGTCGTCGGGTGTCCACATCTTTCAGACACCCGTCTCTTTTCCCGCTCCTCGTGTTTTCCACTCCCCCTCCCCGGCGAGGCGACAGACTGACAAAGAGTTCCCTCATGTTCAAACCAACCTGCTCTTTGAGCTCGGTCAGCTGGCCCGACAGGTTGGACACCAGTTTCATGGTGGACTCCAGTTTCTCCTGCAGGTTTCGGATTTCGTTCTGCTCGCCATCTGCGTCGCTGCTCACCAGGGACATGGCTCGCATGCGTGGAAACCAGTCCAAGTTGTGATCCTGGTAAACACAGGAAAGTGCAGCATTAGGTTAGTCAAAAAAACAAAACAAAACAAAAAAAACCTCATTGAACAGACTACATTGAACATCCTCTTTGGGCTGTTGTTCAATCTGCGGTGTGCTTTTATAGGAAGGAGCTGTGTTTCATGTTAACATAAATGAAATAAATGTGCCAGAAGTGCTTCACATTACAACACAAACGCTGCTCCSTTTGTCTTCTCAGGCCCAGTTTAATCTCCTTTAGCTGTGTGCAGTGATTTCAGTCAAGCGACTCATGTCGGGACTTTCCATATTAGAATCACATGGGACACGCATTCTTGAAATCACTTAAGACAGGCAGTTCACTGAACACTAATATGTTCATGTCATGCAGTTTTAAGGACGCACACAATAAAAGCTGTCAAACTGACAATAAATTACAAACTGATGCAGGAACTTCCTTATCCATGCGACGCAGAGATTCAAATAATAACACTTCACCGCTCTCGTCAGCCAAGACCAGGAATAAACTACACACAAAGCAGGTCCAGAAGCAGACAAAATGAGCAGAAGGAGCTGCGTGCCTTCAATGACAATTCCTTTTCTTTGAAAACAGGAAGTGCTACAAACATTTATGCAATGCTAAATTGAAGGAAGTGTAAAGTTTATTAATTTAGTGTTTGCATTAATTGCTATGATATTTTGGAGATAAGAACGTGTTTTTGGACGGACCAAATCATTTTGGTTTTCAGCTGCAGTCAGATTAGCTGTTAGCTCATCAGTCTTTTTGAACTTTTTTTAAATTGAGCCTTTTCAAAGAGCTATCTAGAAGAAGATATGTATTTTCTACTAAACTTCGACTCAATTTGCAGGCTTTTGTTTTTTCAACAAAAACTAAGAAATAGTTTGTAAATAAAGCTTGAAATGTTGCTTAAGGAAATRAGAAATTTGTTTTTCTTTTAGTTTGAGCTTATTTTAAATTCATTCAAAAATGTATGGCTACTAGAGGGTTTTGTTTCTCTGATAAAATATGAGCCCCAAAGTATAACATTATATTTTGTAATCTATTGTATTTACAGTTAGGTTCACATTCCTTTGAGCACTGACAAAGTTTGTTTAACCTGTTTGCTGAAACATATTCAAGTTATATAATGAATATGGACATAAAGACTATCAGTTTTCATTTGAGGGTATCCACAGTAAAATCTGATGAAGGGTTTAGGAGTTCAGACCCTTAACATGTGCCCACCCTGCTTTTAAAGGGACCAAAAGTAATTGGACTACTGACTCAAAGGGGATTTCATGGGCAGGTGTGGGCAACTCCTTCATTATATCATTCTCAATGAAGCAGATAAAAGTCCTGGAGTTGATTTGAGGTGTGGAGTATGCATTTGGAAGATTTTGCTGTGAAGATAACATGCAGTCAAGAAAGCAAGCAAGCACTGGTGAACTCATCAATGCAACACGACCACACAGTGGTGGATAATTTCAAAATAATTTCCTTGATGAAGAGAAACTCTTTCACAACAGCCAACCAGGTTAACAACACTCTCCAGGATAGGCTTATCAACATACTAATCTACCATAAAGAGAAGACTACATGAACATAAATACAGAGGGTTCACTGCACGCTGCAAGACACTCATAATCCCCAAAAATAAAAAGGTTAGATTGGATTTTGCTAAAACGAACAAACAAAAAAAATGCACAGTTCTGGAAGGACATTGTTTGGACAGATGAAACCAAGATCAACCTCTACCAGAATGATGGAAAGAGAAAAGTCTGGTGAAGGCGTGGTACAGCTCATGATCCAAAGCACCACGTCATCTGTAAAACACAGCAKAGCAGTGTGATGGTCTGGGCATGCATGGCTGCCAGTGGCACTGGGTCACTAGTGTTTATTGATGATGTGACACAGGACAGAAGCAGACGGAGGAATTCTGAGGTATTCAGAGCCAGACTGTGTCAGATCTAGCTGATCTGATGGACAATGACCCAAAACATAAAGCCAAAGCAACTCAGGAGTTTATTAAAGCAAAGACGTGGAATATTCTTGAATGGCCAAGTCAGTCACCTGATCTCAACCTAATTGAGCATTTCACTTGTTAAAGACTAAACTTCAGACAGAAAGGCCCACAAACAAACAGCAACTGAAAACCACCACAGTGAAGGCCTGGCAGAGCATTAAAAACAGCGTCTGGTGAYKTCCATGAGTTCAAGACTTCAGGCAGTCATTGCCAACAAAGGCTTTTCAACCAARTACTAGAAATGAACATTTTATTTACAATTATTTAATTTGTCCAATTACATTTGAGCCTCTGAAATGAAGGGATTGTGTTTAAAAGATGCTTTAGTTTGAGACATGACACCATGACATTTCTAAAGAAACATTTTGTTCAACATACTGAGAGACTGAACTTCAACTGCATCAAAATGTTTTGTTTTAGAATTTGTTGTGGTAATGTACCGTACCAAAATTAGGAAAATGTTTTGTCTGTCCAAATAGATATGGACCTAACTGTATATCTTTTTTTATTTATCCATTTATAAACAATAATATTCACTCATTCAACCAGGACTAAAAACTGTAAGATGCTAATTTTAAATAAAATTAGCTAAATAAAAATACAAGTTTATGGAACGTTTGAATAAAATTTGCGCCAGCACTTAAACTACATGAAATCATTACCATCTCCGTAAAGAAGCCAGTAAATCACCTGCATTTGTTTCTTTATAAACCCTTCTACCATCACGCCGTTTCAATCAGTTCATTCTGCACGAAGCAGAAGAGAAGAAGATGCTGCGTAGCCCCTGTGGTGCTGTGGTCACTGGCTGGGAACAGCGCAGCGCCAAACAAAGGAACTAAAAAGTCCCTGGGTTTCAGTGGTTGATCTGGAGACAGTGGGGCAAGTGAGGTGGCCGTGCGCACCACAAACCAGGTTTAGGTCAGACGGCAGCCAAAGGGGAATTACACAACACTCAGATAATGAAAAGCACCCAGTCATTCTGAGAGGAGAAGACGACGACTGTGAGCATGTTCCACTTCCTGAATGCAAAGTGACAGAGGTTGTGTTTACCTAGTTTGTCTGCCCCCCCACCCATCCACCCCCTTCCTCAAACATACACATACCCAATTTACAGTACAGCCACGTCTTTCAGTTTTGCAGTCTCAGCACTTTACAAAAACAAAACAAAGTGAAAATAAATTTGATGTTTAGACTTTATTTACGGCATTTAGCATTGAAATCTGAAGCCCGTGGACACCCGCAGTTATACACGGCCCTCATTTGAGATGTGTTGGACCATTCCTACGTTCAGATGTTGCTTTTGCAAAAATGCATCATCTCACTTGTCCTACTGAAGCGCCTTCCCAGAATCTGAGTGAAACCGAGCATAAAGTAGGCCTACAGCATWTGCAGTTTTCAAATCAACAATGCTCATCTTCAAATAAACAGCAGTTCAGCGGAAGCCTGAAMAAGTAAAAGTGTGTTGTAGGAGAAACGCTAAACCTACAGGGGAGCCACGCTATCCTCTGGTCGGGCCAGATGATCAGTGCTGTCCGGCTGCCAGGGTGAAATTCTAAAGCAGCAACTCATTTGACCTTGGTGGCTACTTGTGTCACATTTCAGTGACCCACTCCATCAGCTGCTGCCTCATCTCTGAGCAATGTTTTTGCTATAAAAGTATGCMTACAGGCACACCTCAGTTTTATAGATAGCTTGACGACATTGATGAAACACTTTTCCATCTCACTCAGTAAGATGACGGTTCTGACATGATGATGTCAGAACCGCTGTTGTGTCCAGCAGACACAACAGCTGATGTCATATAACGCTGCCTAAAGCATGTGTTCTTGTTACTCCACCACAAACCTTACTTGCCCATCATACCCATAATTTTACTTTTTACAAATGTCTTCTGTCCTTCCTTTTCTCATCTTGAGAATTATCAGTGGTTTGTCTTTTGAGGTAAACTCTGTAAATGTATGACTGTACGAAAGTCTCTTGAYTTTAAAATTTAACAAATTTGTCCACAAGTGTTTTGAACTAGGCTGAATGATGCCAGAAGGGTTTTTTTTCTTATAAAAGGAAATACTTCTTGTTTAAGTGTCCTTTGGTGATGATAATAAAAAAAAGAGAATATATAGAATAAATGATGCTTTGTGACAGAGTTTCCAGCGGTCATTGACTGATTACATTGGATCAGTGAAATTCTTTAACCCTTTGRTGCAAAACATGGGTCAAAAGTGACCCGGCTGAGATTTTATCTTCTATATCTTTGCAATAAATTCATTTCATCATTCAGTATTCGAAGAATTCCTCAATCAACTTGTTTTTGTCATTATTTTATTTTTTATTTTTTAACTTTTTGAATAAAAACTGTTTTTGTATCACTACCCTTTTAATGCCCAACATAGGTCAACAATGACCTGTATTCATTTTCCAGGTTACTTCATGTATGTTGGGGTGTTTCTATGATATACTTTTGAARCAGATTAATTTTATGATTTAATTTTCCAAATATGTAGTAAATATCTTGTTTTTGGTTAGCACAAGTCATTTTTATTTTTCCTTTCTTGAGTTATGAACAAGCACAGCTTTTGTAATTCTACATCATGTAGAATACATGATGTATTCTACACACATGGGTCAGAAATGACCCGCATGCATTTACTACAGCATTTGGTGGGAACTGTGAATTGTTCTTGTGTCARAAATTTCACAACTCAGGACAGCACCTTTGCCCGTCTAATATATGTAAGTACTGTTTTACACTTGTTCTAACAAACCTTAGAAATAATTTTATTATTCTTGGGTTACTTTGAGAGTCAGTAAGTTACTTGTTAGAAAGTTTGAAGTTTAACATATTCTACTTTAGTTAGCTATTGTAGCTGGCTTAGATAATTACATAGCTACGTGGATTGCTACGCTATTAAGCAAAGTAGTTAGTTAAGTAGTTAGCGAAGCTACTTAGCAAAGTCAACAAAATATAGCTATGTATGTTTATGTATTTTGGTGTGC